ATCTACTCCTGGCCCTCCCACCCTTGCTGAACTTGACCTTGCTGCATCTGTCAGGCACTCCCTGGAACATTTTATCTGCCTTATGTCATTAATCTTTTTAACAACTCTGTAGGGCAGATACTACTATAAATCCATTTCACAGAAGGTAAAGACTGAGGCTGGTAGCAGGGTGCCAGGACTCACATCCTGGCCTATCAGATACAAAGGACAGTTCTTTTCCTCTGTGGCATTTCGGTGAGGCCATGTTTTGAGGTGCTCTGATGCTTAAGGCAGGGCAGGGGTCAGATATCATCAAGACACCGGCAAGGGAAGAAGGTCACCAACAACGAGGTGGTTTGGACCCGGTGACCCAGAGAAGAGAGCAGTGTCAGCGGGCACGGTGCCCTCTCCCTCTGCGTGACATTTGAATTCTCGATCCAGCTGTCCCTGAGACCAGGTCTATCATTGCCCATTATAGTTCTGGTTGGTTTCTGTCATTTACAATGTTCTGACTAATGCATGTGACATTCATTGTCCAAGTGGTGGCTATGACATTATAATAGATCTTCCATGCCAAGGGCTTAATGAATGCTCAATCCATTGTGTCTATTAGTGTTGCAGCTGGTCCTGGCCACCATGTCCCAAGCACAATCCAGTTCTGCCTTCAGCCTCCTATGTCAGTCAGTGACACATCATTTTTCTGGCTGACATGGCTGGAAATCCTAGAACCATGTTCCTTTATTTCTAATATGGCCCATCCCATACCTGGTCCATTGTCCCATATGATAGCTCTCAGATCTTTCCTTCCTCTTCATGCTACCTGGCACTGTTCTAGTCTGAGCCATCATTCATGTGTTCACCGAACCTTAACTGAGGACCTATTCTATTTATTGATTTTTTAAAAATCCTCACCAGAGGACATTTTTCCATTTTTTGTTCAGACAGAGTGGGAGGGAGAGAGAGAGAGAGAAACATCGACGTGAAAGGGACACATCGAGTGGCTGCCACCTGCACGACCAACCAGGGCCGGGGACAAACTGCAACCGAGGTACATGCCCTTAGTGGGAACCGAACCTGGGTCTCTCTGGACCACAGGCCTATGCTCTAACCCCTGAGCCAAACCAGCCAGGGCTTGATTTTTATTTTTTAGGGAGAGAGAAAGACAGAGAGCAAGACACACACACACACACACACACACACACACACACAAATATCAATTTGTTTTCCCACTTATTTATATATTCATCGGTTGATTCTTGTATGTGTCCTGATCAAACCTACAACCTTGGTGTATTGGGATGATGCTCTAACCAGCTGAGGTACCCGGCCAGGGCTGAGGACCTATTCTACGTCAGGCAGTGTGTTGGTACCGTGGACAGGTCAGCCACCAAGATAGACCTGGACCCCTGACACTCCTTTCTGTGACCCAGACGTCCATGGGTACCTGTCAGATTGATTGTTCTCAAACACCAGTTTCATGTTACTCTTCTTTAACATTTCTTTTTTAAAAATATGTTTTTATTGATTCTTTTTTTAGACAGAGAGGAAGGGAGAGAGAGAGAAACATCGATCGGCTGCCTCCTGCACACTCCCTACTGGGGATTGAGCCCACAACCTGGGCCTGTGCCCTGACCGGGAATCAAACCGGGACCCCTCAGTCCATGGGATGACGCTCAATCCACTGAGCCACACCGGCCAGGCTCATGTTACTCTTCTTTTTTTTTTATCCTCACCCAAGGACATTTTTTCATTTTTTAGTTCAGATAGAGTGGGAGGGAGAGAGAGTAAGAGAGAGAAACATCGACGTGAAAGGGACACATCGAGTGGTTGCCACCTGCACGACCCAACCAGGGCCGGGGACAAACCACAACTGAGGTACGTGTCCTTAGCGGGAACCGAACCCGGGACTCTCGGGACCGCAAGCCAGTGCTCTAACCGCTGAGTCAAACCGGCCAGGGCTACTCTTCTTAATAACATTCCTTGACTCCCTATGTCCTACCTCATCAAATCTCAGTATCTCTACTTCAAAAGTCCTCTACATCATCATATCATCTTTTTAAAATGATTACTCCCGGAAGGCGAGTGGCAGCCGCAGCTATGCTGACCCGAGCTGCCCAAGCCTCTCCAGGTTGCTCCCGCATGCGGTCCCATCATTTTCATCGTACCATTAATAGCAGCAGTGGCCGCCATGTGACATTCTCTCTGCGGGCCAGAAACTGTGCCAGTCACTTTACAGGCATTCGCTCACTTAAAGCCTCGCAACCAGGGGTGAGAGTCAACACGGTCAGTGACTGATGTAGCGTGGGTGCCAACAGTCAGGGAGACCTTGGCCGCCACCCTGGGCCCGGCAAGCTAGCTCTGCTCACAGCCGTCCTGAAAGGCGGCCGTCCGGATCCCGCGTGTACAAATGTAAGCCGAGATTCAGAAAGGTCAGGGGTCTGGCCCAGGACACTCAGCTGGAAAACAGAAGTGCCAGGATTCAAATCAGGAGCCTCTAATTCCAGGGACTTCAGCACCTTCCGGAGGGCCTCCCTCAATTACCACGGCACAGCCCTTTCTCTAGGGGGACCAGGTCCTTTGCTGCAATTTAAATAGTCTACGCTCCTTCTCCCCTCATTCACTCACTCCTACAATCATTGGCTGTGGCTCCTACTTTGAGCCTGAACAAGAGGAAGGGACCTCCATGGGCGCAGGGACTATGCCATTTCTGCTCGCTGTGCTGTCCCCAGCACCTAGCACGTTACCTAGCACATAACTGGTGCTTGGCAAATGTTTGCTGAATAAATGAATCAGTGCAAGGGGGGTTGTAGAGGATTGGAAAGAATCACTGGCTGATTTCATATTCAAGGCCCTGGTGCCATGGGGCGGTGTGTATGGAAATGTTTTCTGAGGTAGCGGTTAATGTTTAATACTCCTCTGAGCCACCAGGCCAGCCTGAATTTCCACAACACTCAGAGATTCTTTATTCCCTGTAGAGCAGACTTGGGAGTCAGGGCACCTCTGGGTTCGAATCCCAGCTCTGTGCTTCCGTTTGCTTCTCCGCAAAGTGGTGCTGTGATAACTGCCTTGAGGGGTTGTATGGGTGAGATGGGCCACATTAGTCACTGTCCTTCCATATACCAGCACTCACTCAGGGTTACTTTTCCTGCTCAAAGATGCTTACGACCCAGGTGACGCATGAAACCCACACAGGGCCTCAAAAGACAAGAAAGAACATAGGAGAGCCCAGAGGGGGTGCTGCAGAGTGGGAGGTGTGGGCCCCCGCAGGCTCAGAGCTGAGCAGGAGGAGCCAGCGAGCGGCTCAAGGGCTGCTGGGGTTGCTGATTGGATGAGTGGACAGTGTGGGCCTCTGGTCCTGCTCATGGCTGCTGCTGAGCGGGAGGGGAATTCTACGCAGCAGGGCTGGGCCTTCCCCTTTGTCCCTCTGTGTCATCTGCCCTCAGAGGAAGGGTGGGGAGGACATGGCTTCCCTGCCTCCTCCACAACGCCTTTCCCATTGTCCTGAAAGAGAATGCCCCTAGCTTAGCAAAAACATGTTTGAATTCTTGTTCAAGTGAGCTTTTCTTTTCTTCAAATCCTCACCTGAGAATATTTTCCCATTTATTTTCAGATAGATTGGGAAGGAGAGAGACACAGAGAAACATTTATGTGAGAGAGACACATTGACTGGCTGCCTCCTGCACGACCCGGGGAGACCAGGCACAGGACTGAACCGCAACCGAGGTATGCGCCCTTGACCTGAATCGAACCTGTGACTCTGGTCCGCTGAGCCAGACTGGCCAGGGCTGAAGTAAGCTTTTCTATCAAACCAACAAACCATAGGAAAAGAGCTTAGAAAAAGATTAACGCCAACTCAGATTCCTGTCCCCACCTCCCCAGGCTGGCATTCATTGCTGGTCACTCAGACCCTGCATGGCTTCTTTCATCCAAGTCTGCACCCCATTGACAAGGCGCCCCACCTAGATTCCCTGCTTCCCCCCCAGCCATCCTCCAGCACAGTGGGTGGCAGGAAGAAATCAGGGTTTGGGGTACCCCAGGCCTGGGTTCCACCTCCAGAGCCCTGTGTGACCTTGGACAAGTCATTTCACCTCTCTGGGCCTCAGTTTCTTTTTCTTTTTTATCCTCACCCAAGAACATTTTTCCATTTTTTGTTCAGATAGAGGGAGAGGGAGAGAGAGAGAGAAGCATTGACATGAAAGGGACACATCGAGTGGTTGCCACCCGCACAACCCAACCACAGCCGGGGACAAACTGCAACCGAGGTACATGCCCTTAGCGGGAACCGAACCCGGGTCTCTCTGGACCGCAGGCCAACACTCTAACCGCTGAGCCAAACCAGCCAGGGCAGGGCCTCAGTTTCTTCATTGAGAAATGGACATGACACCTAGGTCACTGGGTTGGAGGTGAGGACTTGCTGATATAACTTGTGGAAACCTTAGCAGATGTGGGACCCAGAGGAGGGCTCAGAAGGTACTAGCCCTGCCATGGCTGGCATGGCTCAGTCGTTAGAGCATCAGCCCATGCACCTAAGGGTTGCAGGTTCGATTCCTGGTCAAGGGCACGTACCCGGTTGCAAGTTCGATCCCCAGCACTGGTCAGGGTGCATGCAGGAGGTAAGCAATCAATGTGTCTCTCTCACATTGATGTTTCTCTCTCTCTTTCCCCCACTTTCCTGTCTTTCTTCCACTCTCTCTAAAAATCAATTGAAAAAAATATCCTCTGGTGAGAATTAACAACAAAATGGAAAGTACTAGCCCTGCCCCTCCCAGCACACGGGGACTGCTGAGGTTTCCCTTCCAACTTCCTTCCCCCTCCGGTTTCCCAGTCTTCCCAGAACTGAGAGCCCCTAGCTTTGAGCAGCAGCTCCATCCCCACAGTCTGGGGCAGCGGGCAGGGCAGGGGCGGTTGGCATTATAGGGGAGGCTGGCCAGGAGGGGACAGAGCTGGGCTCTGCTTACCCTCCTCTCACCCCCGGGGCTGGGCTGTCAGAGGGGGACTCCGGCGCCCTGCCTTCCCCTTACCGGAGAAGATCTTCCCGTCCCCGGTGAGGAGGGCAGCCCCCACGGGGAAGTGACTGTAGGGACAGTAGGCGAACTTCTTGGCTTCCTGGGAGCGGAGCAGCAGCCGCTGGACCTTGTTGGGATCCTGGATGCAGGCAGGGTGCTTGTGGGCCATGTCCGTCTCTCGGGATAGCGGAGGAGCAGAGGAGGGAGCTTCTTGCCGGGCTGGGCTGGGACCCACTACAAAGGCAGCTCCTCCCCCCAGAGTATCCCCGCCTGGTGGCTCCCAGGCACACCTGCAGAGATTCTGGGCGGGGCCAGGTCAGGGGGTGGAGCCACACCTCACCTCCTGGTTTGGGGCCAGAGAGTGTGGTGGGGTCCCAGTGTGGAAGGACATGACTGTGCCCACATGTGTTTTACGCTTTTCCTTGGGGACCACTCTCACTGCTAACACACTGATGAGGGGGTGGGTCAGGAGACTGGTGTCACTGTGTGGGGTGTGACTGTGGACACACACCTCAGGGAAATAGCTGCTGGGTGGGTCAGTGAGAGGTCTAGGAAGTCCAAGCTCCAAGGGTTGAAAAACCTGTTTGTTGAATGACATTTACTCTCCTTCCCTGAAGGAAGGGATGAAGCTGAAAGGGCAGGGCTGAGGCAGCTACACTGGTTTCCTGAGTGAGGGAGTAAGACCACGCTACTTCTTTATTTTCACCCGTTCTCCTTTCAATTCGTCCCTGTCTCAACCCAGAATTTAAAAGTATCTCAGCTGGAGGCACCCTCTGAGGTCATCTCTCAGGCAGAGCAAATATTGGGTTGGTGGTAAAAGAAATGAGTTTACATCCTGGCTCCGCCACATTCCACACATTCAACTGTTGGCAATTTACTTGACCTGTCAGCCAGTTTCCTCCTCTCTGAGGTGAGGTTATCACTATCCTCACCTCAGAGAGGATAGTGATAACCTCTGGTCTCCATCCTGGGATGATAGAAGAGCTGTGTTCCAGTTCTGCCATTACTCAGCAATATGACTTTGGGAAGTTAATACCACCTCTCTAAGCCTCAATTTTCCCATCTGTAAAATGGATCACTAACGGTATCTCGCAGAGTTCTTGTTAGGATTGAATGAAATAATGTGTGTATAGTGAACATGGTTGTAGGATCCTGGGACTTCATGACGTGAGCACTCTGTGCTTCCATGAAAATTGGATAACTATCACTAAATGACTTGGCCAGGAATATATAGGAAGGGCAGAACACCAGTTAGGGTGTCCAGAGGCATCTAAATGTCCCCAGACCTCCATCAAGGATTAAATCATTGGCTTCTCTGAGGGCTTGTGTGGGGTAAGCAGGGGGAAGTGGGAAGGGCAGGGGGTGGGGAGAAGTGAGGCAACATCTCCATGTCCTGTATGTTGACATCTCTGCATCTTGCAGCCTGGCTCCTGGGCCCGGGGCTCAGGGCTCTCAGCCAGGCAGAGACTCAGCTGGGCCACTGTACAGTTGGGCAAGTTTGCCTCATTTTTTTCTGCCCTCCCTGACCCTACCCCCGTCATTTTACTCCACCTTCTTTCCACACATCCTGCCCTCGGAGAATCAGCCAGCCCCCCCCCCCCCCCACCCTGCTGTTGCATTTTCCTCTGATCTGTACTCTCAGCGTCTAGACCAGTTTCCTGGGTCCGAGGTGGGGAATTTCCCCTGCCTCTCTCCCTCACTGCCTGGGCACCCTAAAGGTCTCTCTACGGCTCCAGGAAAGAAAGCGAAGGATGTCCTGGGGCCGTGTGTGCCCACTTAACATGGGAGTAATTCTAAAACTTTTGGGGGCCAAGTATAATTCCATCTGGGAAGAGGGTTATAGGGCTTTGCTGGCCGGCCAAGCCTGTGATTCACCTCAACATGCAGTCCTGTTTCTGTCCCCTGCCCTGTCTTGACTCATGCCTGCTCGACCCAGCCCTACCCAGATCTGGAGCTGGACTCCTTAGCGCCACAGTGCCAGGAGACCTTGGATCACCTCCAGGCTAACTGTGGCCCTTGGCATCCTCAGAGCTCTTTACCCGCCCATGGTCATAAATGGGGACAGCACCCACTGCAAACCTGGGGTGTGGAGCTTGAGAGACATCAGTGGTTCTAGAATCCTTATAGAAGGGGCTTGGGCCATCTGGATGGAAGGGTAGAGGGGGCCTGGAAGCTTGCTTAGAGTCAAGTTATAGATCAACAACACTAACAGCATTGTCTAAACATGCTTTAATCTCCACCCTATAGAAATTAAGAAATTCATTGCCCAGGTCAGAGGAGAGGAAAATCCAAGGAAGGTGTTTTGAGTGGTAGTAGAGATTGTCAAGGCCCCAAAGCCCTCCCTATCCCCACCCTCACCCCCAGGCCTTTCAAGAACCATCCAGAGTCCCCTTGTTAGAGCTCAGATACCACTCATTTGCTTACTCATTCAATGGACAGTTACTCATGATAGCAGCTCGCTCTTATTTAGATCTTTCCATGTGCCAGGGCCTGTGCTAAATGTATGATTGAATTATTTCACGTCATCTTCACCTTAAGGTAGATACTGGCAATATTACCGCCCATTTTACTGATGAGGACACTTGAGCTCATGGTGACCAGAAGTGGATCTCAAATCCGAGTTGTTTTTCTCCGTCTGAATCTGGGCTCTTGCCCATCCCAGCACGCGTGGGGGAGCTGGCATAATGGGCATGCGAGGGATGCAGGACTTGGCATAAGACCAATCAGTTTAAATCCTCTTGTTACCAGGTGGGTACCTAAGCAAGCTAGCTCATCGCCCTGTGCCCCCTTTTCCTCATTCAGATAATGGGACAGCGCTAACCCACCTGCAGTGGCTCATGGTGACCAGAGTTTTATTCTGCTCAGGAAGGTTTCCCATTCACTGTGATTTCACTCCCTATTGGGTAAAGGCGTTTGACACAGATGGCCAGTCAGAGACCTCACTGTTCTGCTGAGTCAGTGAGACTGCTGGTTTTCGCCACTGTGGTTGCTAAGCTAAGAGCATGTGACTGTTGCTGACAGTTAGCCCGTGCATAGGCTAGGCTAGAAGTGTTGGGGAATTAAAACCCTCTAGGGCAATTCAGATCTGCAATACAGCAAGAATTTTAAAAATCAGTCAGAATAGCCTGGCCGGTGTGGCTCAGTGGTTGAGCATCCATCCATTCATCAAGAGGTCACCAGTTCAATTCCTGGTCCGGGCACATACCCAGGTTGTGGGCCCGATTCCCAGTGCGGGGCATGCAGGAGGTGGCCAATCGATGTTTTCTCTTGTCGATGTTTCTATCTCTCTCTCCCTCTTCCTTCCTCTCTCTCTAAAAATCAATAAAAAAATTTTTTTTTTATTTTTTATTTTTTTTTATCCTCACCTGAGGACATTTTTCCACTTTTTTTTAAGATACAGTGGGAGGTAGAAAGAGGAAGAGAGAGAGAAACATCGATGTGAAAGGGACACATCGAGTGGCTGCCACCCGCACGACCAACCAGGGCCCGGGACATACTGCAACCAAGGTACGTGCCCCTAGGGGGAACCGAACCCGGGTCTCTCTGAACCACAGGCCGACGCTCTAACCACTGAGCCAAACCGGCCAGGAATAAAAAAAATTTTAAAAATCAGAATAAGATAAGCATCTTAATAGGAGAGTAGGCAAAAGACTAGAACAGGTGTTTCACAGGAGACATGGGGTTGGAAAGAACTACTCTACAAGTTTTCAAGTCTTCAACTTGGCCCCATAAAAATCAAGTATTTTTGTTCAGGTAATGTTTAAAAACTGAAAGAAAAAAAAAGTTTTTTCAGTTGAGGAACACTAGCAAATGAACAGTTTAATGACTATGCCTAGAACTTGTGGCAAATGAAGAAGAAAAAGGAAGTAAACCCTCTAGAGAAATGGACAAAGGATATGAATAGGCAATTTACAGAAGAGAAAACAGAAACGGCCAGGAACTATTTGCTTAACCTTCTTATAGTCACAGAAATGAACTTCAGACAAGGTGTCACTCTACACCCATCAGAATGGCAAAAAGAAAAACAAGTAGAATGATGATAGGTGCTGGTAAAGATGAAAGAGGAATGGAAACCTCATGTACTGCTGATGGGATGTCAGACTAGTATCTCCTTCTGGAGAACGATGGAGTAGGACTTGGTGGAATTAGGTCAGCCTGTACCTTGAGATCCAGTGATCTAGGTAAACAGATACTTTCACAAGCAGCCATAAGAGGAATCATACGGCAATGTTTTTTAAAAAGTTTTTCAGTGTTTGCTTCACTTTTAAGTCTCTCATTTATCTGGAATCAATTTCTATTAATTCTGGTGTGAGGTAGGGATCCAGATGGATGTCCAATGATCCCAGCACCACCGATTGAACATCCCTTCCTTCCTCCAGCTATTCCCAATGCCAGCTGTGTCAAATCACACATGTACATATGAGCGGGGCTTTGGACTCTCTGTTATGGTCTACTGGTGCATTTTTTTTTCATTTCTACCCTCATACCACACCTATCTTTATTATTAGAACTTCATAATAAGTATTGGTTTCTGGAGGCCAAACACCTACCCCCTCCGCCTTGGGCCTTTGTTCTTCTAGACACATTTTAAAATCAGCTTTTTAATATCCTCTGAAAACTCTCTTATCTAGCCTCTGTAGGAATTATATAAGGTTGGAGTAATCTATTTCTTGATGTTTTGGAAGAATTTTCCTGAAACCGTCCCAAGCTTCATGTTTTCTTTCTTTTTTTTTTTTATCCTCACCCGAGGATATTTTTGCATTTATCTTCAGATAGAGTGGGAGGGAGAGAGGGTGGAAGAGAGAGAGAGAAACATCGACCTGAGAGAGACACATTGACTGGCTGCCACCCATACAACCCGGCCGGGGACAAACTGCAATCGAGGTACGTGCCCTTAGTGGGAACCGAACCCGGGCCTCTCTGGTCCAAGGGCTGACACTCTAACCGCTGAGCCAAACCGGCCAGGGCAACCTCATGTTTTCTTTTAAGAAAAATATTAAACTATCAATTTAATTTCTTTAAATATTTTAAAGAAATAATCCTCACTCGAGGATATTTTTGTAGAGCTATTCAGGTTTTCTGTTGCTTCTAAGCCAATTTTGATAAACCAGTCGTGGTGTGCGTGTGTGTGTGTGTTTAAGAATTTGTTAGTTTTATCTAAATTTTCAAAACTGTTGATATAAAGATATATATGGTATTCTGTTATTATCTTTGAAAAAGCTGATATAGCCCTGGCCAGTTTGGCTCAGGGGTTGGAACTTCGACCTACGGTCCAG